TATTTAATTTTTATTTCATAAGTATTAACATTCATTACTTGTTACATAGGACCAGTAATATTTTTAAATTTCCCCAGATTCTGACATTTCAAAAAAATACATCGCAATATTTAGATCCTTAATTTTTAAAGTATGTCTTATTAAGAATCCTTAAACTTTTTTACAAACTAAAAATACTTTGAACAAATAAAATCTTATTAAAAACTGAAAAAATTGATGTTGACTAATTTAGAAAAAAAAAAACTTACAAAATTCTATATCTTGAGTAATTTACCGAGGACATAGGCAAGGAAGAGCATTACATGGTGTAGGAAATAGGTCGAGAAATTCGCAGGATAATCGAATCCTTGGAGCAGTAGGAAAGCATAACAGGTTAGTGTTATACCTTGGCTATAAATTTCGTCCCCTCTTCGCCTAATTTACAGTCAAATTTTTTGTTCATTCATCGACTAGCAATCTCGGAACCCGTAAAATGAAATTATCGTTATCTTAAAACTAACTAACAATAAACAAACAATTTTATAAAAAGTAAATAAAAAAAAGTAAGCATCAACTGGGAATATAAATATAAAAAAATGTATACTTAAAATAAACAGTCTATCTTCTAAACATTTAAGTTAAAATTATAAATAAAAAAAAAATATTGCATTGCAGCAGGACTCGGTAATAAAGGGATTGGCGCATCATCTGCTGGCATCTCATGCGAGCCTGATAATCGAGCGTACGTATATCCCCTCTAAATCGCCTAAGGCATGCTTGCGCGCCTCGTAATTCCTTGATCCGGAAATCCATGTCGTTCGTTAAGTTCCTTAGGGGTTGCCTGCTCAAGTTAACTATTAAGCCACGGCGTAGGACAGTAGTACAAGTAGACATCAGACGACACACACACACACAGCCTCGTAAACACATACGAGTAACTCATATGTGTGTACAATAGTGCTTACAGGAATTCGAGAAGCCAGATAGAACAGAATAGCGTAGAATGAGAAAGGACGCTTGTGTACATACGAACAAGATAAACATAATATGAGCGAGTCTTCGGAACTGGTTTATCCACAACACAAGATTGTCCTGTATCCTAGGACCCTGTATCTCGTAGCCTACAGCGACGATAAAGGGTTGGGGATCGGATATAATAGAGCCCGAGTGTTGGTCGGGTTTACGGTTGATTCCGAATCGCGGAATTAAATCCCACGGGAATGTGGGTAAGGCTACGGTGTGACCTCTCTATCCCAGGAGAACATAATATAATTTCGTGCACAGACCAATGACACCGCACACATTCGAACGTACTAATTATACCTATATTATATGATATCATATCATTTAATTATTTTTATGATTTCATTCATATCGCGTTATTTTCGTCTTGTGCAATTCGATTTTTCCAACATTTTTTCAACGATTTTTCATAAGCTCCTATCGCAGTAGGTAGAAAGTACAAAGATTTTGTAATATTGATTTGGTTATATGTGATTTGATTTTGAAATGAAATTAGAGTTTGTTTACTGGAAATATGCAATAAAAGGAAGCGAGCAACCCCCGGCGCAACTATAAGTATTTTTTAACGTTTCTGAGGCGTAAACAAATAGCAGGAAAGCATGTGACCAAAGAAGTAGGAAGCTCGTGAGGATTCGTTTTATTTGAGACACCCGAATACGAATCCTTGGAATACAATCGTAGGTAGTGTTATATATGTTGGATTTTTATTTATTTACATGGAACTGGTGGTTGATTCTGCGCAAACGATGCTGCGAGTGCATGGACGCATATGGGAATAAGATCAAATAAAAGTAAGAGAGCGCGGGAGTTGAGTTGAGTTTTGTTAGAGCAGAATGAGCAGAGGGTTTCAGATGAACGTACTTATTACAAATGCATATCCTGGACTCCTGATGCTCGGGGTCCTACAAAAGCCCTTATTTGGGTCATGAAATTTTACATTTTTACTTTGTGTTTGAACTGTAGGTTGTTGGCTTTAAAGAAAGAGAGAGAGAAAGAGATAAAGGATTTGAAGATCAGCCACGGAAAAACACGACCTACTTAGCACTCATGAAATCCTTGCCGTAAAAATAAGCCGACAGGTATTAAACAAAGGACCTCATTTGCATATTTTCGTACCCGCAGGCACGAGTGCGAAGATAGAGTAGAATAAAATGAAACGACTCCTACCCAAAGCGCTGGATTGGAGAAACAGAGCGAACCCGAAATAAAAGATTGGACTCCTCGTGCGGAATCTGTTCTCCTGATAGCGGATACGTCTGGTAGGCCTGCAAAATAATTCGCGAATTTAAGTGTCGCTTGTGAATGATCACCCTCTGGCGTGTTTTGCGCCACTATTCAACAATTAGTTTTTGTTTCATGGATAAGTGTTTGATGTTTGAAGTTTAGCTAGCCGATTTTCTCGGCTAGAAGCGAATGAGTTTTATTGAGTTACACTATTGAGAAATCTATAAATTTATTTTTTTATTATTATTATTATTCGGGCAATAACCCAGATGAAAAGTTTAAAACAATGGTGGTGAGTTTATTGATCTAGTGAAAAGTGCGTTGTACTGTAGGGATGTTAATGGTGGTCATGGTTTGCACGAGCTTGACCGAAGGCTAACGAATGACCCTTGAGAATCAGGAACGCAGAATATTCATTTAACGTCGTGGCGCATCGCACACACCCGCAACCATTCAACGTCATTTGAATGCACACCCCTACCACTACTAGCTGACGTTTTATTCAAAGTTTTTTTATTATTAATATTTACAGCTTTTTATCACTTTTTTCTTTTTGTTTGCTAGTTCTTGAGATTAGAGATCGCTCTAAATCAAATAAATGAGAAATTTATGAGTTTCATTTTTTTGAATTTTTTTTTCTCAATAGAATTTTGATTTTATTAAGTTGGAAAAATTTTTTATTTTTGGTTTAGAAATAAATTTCATTTTATTTACTTCTTTGAAATATTTGATACGAAAATATTTTAGAGGCAAGAACATTATTTTTGAGCCAAGATATATTTTCTGTGTAACAAAAATGATATTTAGCATAATTATTTCAAATATTAAGCATGAAATTGTCTCCAGTTAAATACTTAAAATATTACACAAATTTAATCAAGCCGAAGTCCTGTAATTTTCCCTATAGCATTCGCCAACAGTTTTAACAAAGAAATTAAATTATCACAAACGCGCTAGTATGACTTATCGAACATATTCAATCGTTAGATACCGAATGATCTCTACCCATATTCCATTAATTAATTCCAACAACCGGGAAATCACTCAACTATCAAACGAACTTTACAATTAATATTCAAACGACTAATCCACATAGGCAAAATATCTTTTAATTAGGAAACCCTAAAGGTCTTAAGACCTCTAATCGTAAATCCAATCCGCTTATACGATATATCTTACCCATTCTCTGTTATTGAGCTTTTTTTTCTCCGTAGCTAACGTTAACAAACGTCTATACTCCCTTTGTATTTGTATTGTCTCAACGGTTTAAACGAGCAGTATCCTCGGTCTTCGGGAACATAACGCACGAGATTATCCTGCCTTAATGTTCCCTTATATCTCTACTACTACATACTGCACCCTATATGTTGGTCTCTATGCGTTACATATCCAGTACAGAACTGTGCGCCAGTTTAGCCTCCTTTATATTAGCATCACACAGGAGATCTAGCCGCTAAAATATAATTCCTTGTTTCCCATAATGTACTCAGGTAACATGACACTTAGTCTACAGGTTGGATCCTATTATCATTATTATTATGTATACTACGTGCGATATATTATGTAACACAGCCACACCAGGCGGTCATCAGAAGGGAATCCAAATAATTGTTATATATGTATAGACCGAAATTTCTCACATATATACATAACACAGCTCGACGAATGTGAACACACGGATTATCACTGGGGTAGTGGTAGGATTATCCAAGGCTTCGTGAGTCTCTCTACGCTATGCTACTCAACTCAACTCTATCCCGAGTCTACTCTAGCCTTTAGATTTTAGCCCGTAGATTGTAGCTTCTAGTTGTGTAGTAGTACTTATAGCTAGTGTAGGATATATTCATCCTTTATGTATATGTAGATATCTAAGTAGCCGTGGAACCCTCATGTTAAAGCCAACGGCTAAATCCATCAGTTGGAATAGTTAAGCGTAATTTGATAATTTTTCAAGTCCTTTATTTTATTGTTTTCTTTATTTAATTTTTAGTAAGCTGTAATAAAGATGTAGATATTCTGATTGAAAATAAATGAATATTATTGAGAAAGGTAATTAATAATTAGGTTTATACGGAAATTATTCTATGTATTTTTCAATGCAAAATAAATTTATATAAAAATGTATTTATAAATATGTACGTTTAGCAACTGGGAAGGTTCAGAATAGTATTATATTGTATTCAGAAGCTTTTGAGTTAGTGTAGGTATATTTGTGTTCTTGGTGCTCTTGGGATTAATCCGGGATTATTGAATGTGTGTGAGCCAAAAGCCGCTCTACTCGCTTGTCGTCCGAATCCGAAATCCAACGCACACGGGTACATGCGAGGATAATGCTAACTCTCGCACACGGACATACAACTCTCGGCTAAAGTGTATCCTCGGTATTATATGTTTATGGTGTGCTTGGCACTCGGGACTCGGGATTTCGTGTGCGAATATAACGCTCCCTTTTCTATGTCACGCAAAATAAAATGATAAGTATATGTATGTGCATTGTATATTGTATATTCTTGTACATGTATTTAATGATTTGAATAGTTTTTTGTGTTTTATTTTAAAAAATTTGATTTTTTTATTCAATTATTTTTCAGAGGACTCAGCTATACTATGGATTTAGGGTTGCGTGCACACGGGTAATTACACGACGGGAAATTCCAGCACGACACGAAATAAGTTCGATCATCATTTGCCGCGAGCTACGTCCAGTGTAATCGCTGCAAAAGTTTACTGTAAAAAAATTAATACAATACGAAAACCGATTACAATTATTATTTTTATAACTCTTACATAAAAATAATAATAATAAAATTTTGAATTTTTTACGTATTCAATATTCTGTGGAATCCAAATCCATTCGCGAAATCATAGTAAATTTTGATTTTAATGATTTAATATATTGTAAAGAAAAATTTCCATCAATCACTCAATTGTAATACATATTTTAATATGACGGCTCATGGACCAAATAAAAAAATCTTGAAAAATTGATCAATAATTACATGGAAAAAATACTATCTTTCATAAAAAAAGACTATTTTTTAAAGTCTAGTAAATAATCTCATTAAAAAATAACAGAACTTTTCATTTGATTTGTAGTATACTACATGACGTGTGATCAAGTGTTTATGTTTAAGCCCCTGTAGCAAAATTAATACCAAGAAATATAAGCAAGAACTTGTTAATAATATCGATCAAGTGCTGTAATTTTAAAATTTACTTGTTGATTTCAGTACAAAAAATAATATCTTATCGATTATAAAACAAGATATTATTTATAAATGTTGATACACAATGAAAAAATAAAAAAAGTAATTAAAAAATTACAGTTTAAAAGTAAAATTCTTTATAAACTCTGTAAGAAATACATTCAGAAATTGTTAAATTACATTTGAAACTGTAAAAATCAATAATTGGAATTTCATTTTTTGTTTTAATTTCATTTTGTTTTTTCGTTCGGAGCTTCTTTTATTATCACAGAAACTGTATTATTTCCATTGCTCTTTTTTCATGTACTGTAATGAATTACAATTATGAAACAAATCGCATAAAACAAATGTAAATTAATTTTACAATTAAAATGAATTTCAAAATCATTACAATCAAAGAATTCTGTCCGGCATTTATTCCAACGGATTGAAAATTCATTCCTGATTTTTCGCAGTACATTATTACGGCTCTTGTTATTATTATTACGTTCATTAGTTCCATAATAATGACAATAATTATAATAACAAGAATAATACGCGTGGATTAAAATGTATTATAGAATTATTGCAGTTTATTTATGAACTCGTCGGAAACCCGATTAATGTGAAAAAAAACTCACCGGTAACAGATGAATTTTTACTGAGATCAAAGCCCTCGGGTTTTGGGCTGGTAGAATCGATTTCCTGTTTGGTGTGTCGATTATGATGAGCTCCGAAGCTCTGCTGCTGTGATTGCTGTTGCGCCTGCTGGTGCTGCTGCTGGTGTTGATGCTGGTGCTGGTGCTGATGCTGATGCTGATGCTGATGCTCGGTCCTCGGCTGTCCGGCACTCGCGATTAAGTTACCCTGCTGCTGAGACGGCTGGTGTACCAGCTGTGGATGCTGGACTGAAGCAGGTCTGGGTGTCGGGCTACGGTTAGTTGCGTGTGCTGTTTGGTGAGATTGCGGGCTCCTCGGGATCGGAGACACACTTGATGAACGCGATGGCGGCGTTGCCTTGTGCGTCAGCGCCAGTGCTTGACTCTGTAACACATCATGTTTCATCTTATTTTTATTTATTTTTTTCCTCAATTAGTTTCTTTAATTTTTTTTTTCAAGTATTTGCAGATTTTGGAGTTAAATTTTGAAATAATAATGATAATAAATAAAAGTGAAAAATTACAATAAAATTTTTTTTGTTATTTAAAAAAAAATGTTAATTAAAAAGTATTTCACTAAAAATTGAAAAAATCAAATTTTTTTCAATACATTGTCGTAATATTTTCCAAATTAAAATATAAAAGTATGGATAGTGAAATAGATCTTCAAGGACGCGTATTAAAGAAGAATAAAATGATAAAGACAAGTTTTAAATTCAGTGCAATCGAGTAATTAGGAACGTCGAGTAGGCTGTATGTACACGATAATACATACATATGTGACAAATAATGCCAGCACGCATATAATAAAAATATAACCGATGAAATCTGAGCACGTGGTTAAATAATGTCGACTTGAAGATTACAACTCATAACTATACACACATAAATATATGTAATTCTAACTGTGTCCAATGATAACTATACAACATATTAAGACAAGCAAAGAGTTTACTACTTAACTTGGATTTGTGTATATATATGTATATATTTATGACATGTTACATGTTCAATATAAGTAAAGTTAACACCATGCAGATACAGATAGTAAGAGTAGTGGCGGCTAGTGGCTAAGCCGTTGGTTTGTGTCAACAGGGGTCAACTGGGCCCAGAATGCGAGAATCCTCAGCACGCACTCCCTAACTGTCACAGCCAGTTTAGTTGTATATTCTTAAATACATCTTAAACGGCTCATGTCACACCAATTCTTATTTTGATCTTAATCATATGACTTGGGCACAAACTTAGTGTACGGACAAGACCGACGTTTAAATAGATTAATCTCAGAAAAATTTTAAATTCAGTAAATCCAAATATATATGATCGATACAGTTATTTTATAATAAAAATAGATGAAAAATTTATTGCAATTAATATTTTTTTAATGTAATTTTGATTATAATAATAATAAGTCCAATTGTACTAATAATGACAATAATGATATCGTTAAATATATAATATTAAAAAATCAAAAATTTAATCACGACCTAAACTGCATGTTTTTTTTATACTTTTAAGTGTTCCCTTAAAAAAAAAAAAAAAAAAAAACGTCTTTTTAAAGTAAAAGACGTTATTTTCAAATATAGTTTTAGTATTAATTGACTATTTTTAGCACTTTTTGAAACTCTCTAGACAATAAATAAAAAAAAAAATTTTAATAAATTGTAAAAACTGTAATACAAAGATCGTTGACGCTATTATAAACTTCGCTCCATTAGCAAATTATTTCATTAAATTCAGTGATAATAATTATTCAGTTAATATTTTATAATTCTGAAAATACTTAGTTTTAATATATTTCAAGGTAATCCTAAAAATCTAACGAAATTGATTTATAGTCTTTAAGGCGAGAGTTGAGCATATCTTTCGCGCTTCATTCTCGAGGTATGCAATGAATAAATAAAATTTGATATCAATCTTGGTAAAGAATTCATAAAATTTACCAAATGATGTATCGCTATTGGATTATTTAAAAAAGTGTCTCAGGATTTTATCCACCCGAGATTTTTTATTGCCGCGACTGTACTCGAGCACGGGCTACTGTTTCGGGAGCCACGCAGCTCGTCGGTGGTATGCAGCGGCACCGCAACCCAAAAAAACACGTCGGACGGGCCCCCGTGAGGCTTTTATTTGGGTCCTCCGGTCTTTCCAAGCTTGTGCGTCAACTCACTGATGGCTCGGCATGTGTGCGTTAGTATAGTGTGCGGTGGTTTGAACGTGACCCACCACCAGTATATGCGTAGCGAATATAAAAGGGTATATAGTATAGAGATGTGAATATAATATATAAAATAAAAAAGAATTGAGTTTTGACTCGAGTTGAATATGAAGTAAAGCATTATTATATTGTATATTGGGAAATAATGTATGATATTTCGGTACTTATTCATCTTGTCGCTATTATTTTATTTTCGGTTATTCTTTGTCAGGAATCGAGTCTTTCTTTACTTTCGTGATTCGTGATCTCGAGTCATACGAGACAGGTGCGAATCACTGGTTAAACGAAAAAGGCTCCAGAAAGAAGAGAAGAGGAGGAGTAGGGTCATCATTACGACGTGCACTTCTGAGTATTGGTGGTACCGTCAGATGCGGGATGAGATTGCAATAAGTGTGTGTGTGTGTGTATGTATATTACGTGTACCGAATGGAAGGAGTGAAGTGATGTGATGAGATATAGCAAAACCAAACTGCGCGGAAGCGGGTATTAACTCAAAGCATGTGTATTGTGGCACAGAGTGTATGTAAGAGTAAGAACTACGGCAACAGGTGGAAATCCTTTGGCTTATCCCGATGTGCTAAGGATTTTTTTTTTTTTTTTTTTTTTTTTTTTTAAATCGGAGTGCAATTCAATGTCGGGGAATTTTTATCAATTCGCTGTAATTAACTAATTAATTACTTTTTTTGTATTTTAATAACTGAATATTTGATTCGGTTTATTTTTAATATCAACTGATGGATGTTATCGAATTTTATTTTAATTGAGGAAAAAATTTTTAATTTATGAAAAATTAATATATATTATAGAAAATTAACATTTTTTATCATAACACAATGATAATTGAATGCTTATAATTACTTTTATTACATTAAAGACTAATAAATATTATATATGATTCTTTTAATTGCATGAAAAATTTTATAATTTCATTATTTAAAAGTGAATGAATTGTTTTATCAAAAAAACATTTTGTTAATTATGTAATAAAATATTTATTGGTTTACGAGTAAAAATTTTATTAAATTAAGTAATTTTTACTTAAAATTTTAATAATTCAAATTATCACTAAAATAATTTAAATATATGAAAATTTTTTCTCGTCAAATTGTCAAAAACAAAACGAAACGTTTTAAATAAAACTAAAAATTTTTTTTCTCATAAAACAAAAATTGATATTCGATCCAGTTTGTTTGGTGTTGGCACGCAAGTGTTATTAAGAATCCATGGCTTAAAGGATGGCTCGCAAAACGACCACGTGTACACTGACGCGTACATATGGTCACGCTATTTGACCACCCCTCGAACCACTGAATAATCATTATTCATCTATCCGGTGTCTCTGTCCAAGCTTAGATTTCCCGTCGACACTGTTATAAATTTATCTGTCTATTATATCCCTTTCCCAGTTAATCCACATCTATACTTTTAATATAATAATCCATTTTCTTTGTTAAATTCATCATATACAAGTCTATGTTATAATTATAATGTTCATTTGTAACAATAGCCGGTCTTCAAATTTAGATTCCATCTCTTCAACCTAACAATTATTGTCATTCTTTACTTTTATATTTATATTTGTATGATATATCATGCATATATTATGTGTTATATCTGTCAAGCCAAGTCTTACATAATCCATCCACTTAACTTTAAGCAGCAGGCGCTTAAATTACACTCTACTCGTAGATTCTTTTTAAATGGATTCATTTATTATGTAGCTACCATTGATATCATCAGACTCAACGATTTCATTCGCAGATTAGCAATAAACCAATCAATATATTCAATTTTTTTGTTTCTTTTGTTGCAGCTTTAATTTTAAGAGTGATGTATTTAAAAAAAAAAAGTAATTGGGCTTCCAATTGGTAACCTCACTTATAATTGTCGCGATTATAAAAAGTAGTCTAAATGGATAAACGCTGTATTTATAAAAAAATGCAATTATGTTATCGATTACAAACGGTGGTCTCCTTGCTGTAAATATGCATAATGGGCTTTAGATAAACGTATATCAGTAGCCGTCATGTACTTTGTAGGATAAGCATTAACTTTGTTGTTAATAATTATTATTTCATAAATACATTTCGATTCCAAAAAATTAATTTTTATTACTTTTTGTGGTATAAAAAAAAACAAATCGATGATTAGTTTACGATACCAAGTTAATTTTTAGTTTATTTAATGCAGTTATTTCCAATAAAAATTATTAAGTCTTACAATATTATAACCAACAAAGTTTTTTCATTTTTAAGTAATTTTTTTTTTTTATTGCATTACAGTTTTTTTTTTTCAATACTGTTACCATAAACTTTAATTCATCTGTCAATTACATAAAAAAATCAGCAACTAATATACAAAATTTGAACAACAATGATAATCACCAATTGAAATAATTATGATATAACTAATAAAAAGAAAATAATCGGTAGGTTTCTTCCGGTTGAACGACCTCGCCCGAATTCTTGCAATCAAACCGGGCAACAGTCACAAGCTCAACTGGTATCGTATCGTATCGCAAATTCTGCAACAGTAACAGCGAACGACTTAACTCTTTCAGTGGTATCTCCTCTGCGCTGCATCTACACCACACACATACTTACTTAAATTTACACATATGTGATATTATGTTATGTTAAAGAGTGGTCCGGGTTCTGTGACCAGTGACCAGTATTCAATATTGTATATGTGGCATATATACCTACATATGTTAGTTTATTATATAGTAATAGTAATATAAGAGTTGTAGTGATTCCGTGAGCCCATCACCGTACAGGAAGAAGGCAGGGGCACATCCGTAACATGCCCAGAACCCGTGACCCCCCACCTTCACTTCACTTACATCGGTATGTTCATTCTCTTTTCTCCCCATATGCATATCTAATATGCAATATATCGTATATAAATAAATACAGCGATCGGTGATTTAACTTTAAACTTGGACGAATTATTTCTATTTATATTTTATGCAGTAGGTGAATGACAAAACGATATCTTGGTACAAATTATTATCATTATTTTATTACTCGTCCAACACTCTTCTGAATACTCGTGTCTTTATTGTATTAGTGATAGACACTTAGGGTTGAATATTACGCGGGCTAACTGATGGAAAATTCCCGAGGGTGGTAAATCGCCTGTGTAATAGTCAACATAATGCTTTGGGTTTTATCCAACGTACTCTCAAATACAAAGTACTTTGTTTGGATTGTTTATTTTATTTTCAAATTTTAAAAACTACCCTGAAATATTGTGATTAGACAAATCACCTCGGAATTATTTTTGAATTCATTATTTTATTAAATTAGAGTGCGGATTATTTTAGCTACTTAAAGTATTGTTTGTTTTCACTATTTTTTTTTCTTTGATAATATGCTAATTCTTGTAATACCCACTTAAAAAATCCATACAATCTCGATAAGTATTTATTTTCATTATTGTATTGTCAAAAAAATTTCAAACTTCGCAAATTAATCAGTAGAGTTTAATTGGTGATTGGTAATCGGTAAAAATTTACAGTTAATTAGTTTAAGCAGCTTGGAGCTATAAAACGTGTTAAAGATTGAGACATTATATCAACTTTCAACTAAAACATGCTTAAATATAAAGCAAAATTTTTCTAAGTAATTATTGTACATTTTGTCGTTGAATTTTTCTTATTATTAAAATCGTCAAAGTAATTGATAATGACTCCTATTCGCAAAATTAAAAATTTTTTTATTTTAAAATTGACTTGAAAGAATTCGGGATTAAAATGCAATAAAAATGATAATTTGTAATGTTTCGTAATATTATCTTTACTTCATCAAACTATACAAATAGAATGGAATTAATTATCATACGAATTTTAAAACATGTGACTAGTAAAATTAAATACGTAAAAATTTTATTAATGCTCAATTGTAGTTTGCACGGAAAAATAATAATCTATTGCTAATAAGCTTAAATGTGAATATTAATTTTGAGGTAATATTGATTCAAAATTTTATGATTTGAAATATTTCTCAATTAGATAAGTTTGTTTTTAAAACATTAAATAAATTATTTCATGAAATAATTAACCTGTCAAAAAAATTTTTATGAAGTGAAATAAATAATTCATGAGGAAAATAAAATACTAAAAAAAGTAATTACCTGTACTGGATCAACTTTAGTATTGGCAGCCACCCAGGCCTCAGCAAAAGTCTCCATAGCGCTTTGAAAATCCATTCCACGTTTTGACACTTGACGAACACAACTCGCCGAAATATGTAATTACTGCTTGCTCTCCGCAACAACAATAATCCAACAAAATAAATAAAGCTGACTAACCCTTTTATCGCGATATATCAGCCCCAAAATTAAAATAACATTCACATAAAATTAATAACCAAAAACAGTTATTTCATTATACTATATTGTATTATTCAGTAACAACCAACTATTACATTCAGATTAATAAAATACAACAAATAAACATATATTATTACAATTAATCCACTAAATAATCACTGTTAAATCACTGGCCTTTTTCGATCTTCCCGAGGTGTTTTTATTCATTTTACTTTCAACATTTTCAAAATTTACCTTTATTTTTATCATTATTACTCTCCATTCACTGAGTTCACTTATTGTTACGGTTAATAAGTCTCAAGTCGTACATAAATAAGTTTAATCATATGATGCAAAGGTTCAAAATTTTTATCTTCACTCATACTCAGCCCTCAATTTAAATAAAATATCCATTAATAAAAAAGCTCCAATTAAAAATGACAAATTCAAATTATTTTTTGGCTTATCAATTTTTTTCGCACCGTAAAAATTGATTAAATTAAAAATAATAATATCCATCGTAATAACATTTACAATAATAATGATAATAATTACTAGATTAACATTAATATTAATATTATTATTAACAACGACACGGTTAGAAGAAAAGTTGGAGCCGCGACTGTGCGTGCCCGAGCGCTTCGGCGCCCAATGTGACTCAACTCTCTACTCAGTCCGGTACGGGGCGACTCGCGTGTTACTGCTACGGTTATTCCCGCGTGTGCGCCTTCGTTCACCCCACTTTAGCCACCGCTATCCTCACTTACAGTCAGTACTCCTATCCAGGACTACTATACAATCATACACGATACATGTAGAGCGTATACTAATACACACTGCAGCTGTAGATGTAGACTGTAGAGTGCATCGCGAATAATCGCGATACGCGGTGTAACACCGGGGATACCATGCAGATACCGGATAGAGACGTTCTACCTCTACCGAAAGCTCTCGGCCACTCGGTAGCATCCACTCCCCCAGTTGATACCAGTGGAGGATTTCTCGACTCAACTTTCGTGAGAAATCTTTCAGCGGGAGGATCCAGGACTCATCCGCCCCGTTACGTCCGACGATCCTCTTTTTAGTCACCCGGAAGAATAAGAAGGGAGAGCTTAAAATTACCCAAAGTTGCCAGGACCAAACTTTCAACAATTGTGACTGAGATGTAACTTTTTTTTTTATTTTTATGTTATAGCGAGATTAATACAGAACGACGATTATTTGTCTACTTAACTTCCGGTAAGCTTTTTCCGGTTGGTTTCTATGATAATCGTTATAATTATTATCGTATTTTGTTTTGCTGTCTTGCTAACGTTTAATCTTTTAGATAATTTAGTCTTCATTTTGGTGATGTTTTAACGAATACAAAGTTGTTAAATTTTTATGATAAAATTTTACACAATTAACTTGTTAAACTTTAGGTTTTCAAGATTTTTAAAATTTATCATTTTTTTGTTTTAAATCACAAAAAACATTTTCTATACATTTTTTGTATCTTAAAAAATTTTCTTCTTAATTTTGTCTGTAAATTTTCACAACTCATCTTTTGAACCAGTTAAAATTTTCAACAATTAAATGTAAAATTGTCAGGGAGGTACAAATATATTTAAACGCAAAACTTTATTCAATTGACTTATAAGAGTTGATCATGAAAATTAAAAATATGTCTTTATTTTTCAAAAAACGTCATCAATAAAATTCGACATTATTACAAAAACTTTTGATAGTTCAAAAAAATAAAAGAAATTATTTTTTCAGCTACACACAAATTTCAACGTAAACCTTGATCGACAGAAGGAATAGGTATAGAGTTTTTCACGGTTTAATAAATAGTATCCGCCATGCGGTTAATGTTAAAACATTATCAGCGTTGTTAAAAGCTCCATTACGATCTCGAAGCACCTTGTAAATGTTGAGATGTTTGGATGGCTGCAGGATGCAGGATATATTGGCTCAGGAATAATTCGATGCAAGCTCAATTCGAAACTTGCAGTAGAGCTTGGAACTCAGATGTGCAGAGGTAGACATTTTGTTGTGCGCATGAGAAGCATTTCGGCGAACGGGGAACTAACGGTAAGACCAGGTCGCATTGATAAACCTTCTGTCCTCTTTTTTAGCCTCATATCCTCTCTGTTACTCAATCCCGGGATTTTCCGGCGGGTTTAGGCCGCGTGGGGCGTGCCAGCTAGGCGTTTCTGGTGAGCTTGTAGGCGGAGCTTTCCTGCTACGCCTTCGAGCTTTCGTTTCCAAATGTATGTATAAACTCATACTTACATGAGAAAGTGCACACTTTCTTGGAAAGTTCGTTTCCTCTAACTACAGCAGGATCTATCCCTCTCCGGCTAAGAGTTTTCTCATTCCGCTGCAGTGGCTCCTTAGAAGCTCTCGAGCTTTTTTATTTCCCCCCTCCCCCCCGGTGTTTTTTACGGCTACACTTTACTCCCACTTATCGGAGGCTAATTCTAGGAAGATGGTGGTAACGCGAAGGGTTAACGTCGAAGGGGAGTGAAGGCGAGAGATGATGGGGGCGAGGAGAGAGGAGAAGGTGAGGTGGAAGTGCGAGGTAGAACTTAGAGAAGGTATTCAAGTTGAGGTAGGAGCACGTGCAGAATACTTTTACGGGGTTGGTGGTTGGGGTTGTGACGGAGCTAAAAAAATATTACTTTACCAAAGACGTCTAGTCTAAAACGCCCGGATCTACTTCTTGGGTCTAACGTGTCCGGAGCTAATTTGCCACTGAAAAGCTCTTGTATAAATTATTGCTACCACGCGAGATGAATATCTGATTTTTTTTCACAATTTTTCAAAAACTTTATTATTATTATTATTTTTATCAATGCACTCAAAAAAAAAATTAACTCGAATCAAGAGAAAAAATTCATAAACCCAGAAAATAATTCTGAAGAGTTTCATAGTCTTGAATCAAGTAAAATTTACTTAAACCACGAAAAATTTCTTAGATTAAGAATTTTTCTACTTAAATCAAGAAGATGAAATTCTTCAAAATTATTTACTTGATTTAAGTAAATTTTTTTTTCAAGATGCTTGAAAACTTTGTTGTGATTTCTTGATGTTTAGGAAAGGTTATATGTTAAAAAATATGCTATTTTTTTCGATTCTAATTTACAAATATAATTTGAATAAATGATTAATGATTATAATTACACATTTATAATGATCTTTTTCATTCTGATTCTTAGATATTTCAATTATAAATTATAATTTCTTTTCGGAAAATAGACCGAAAGGTGGCGACGCGAACAGACGCATGATTTGTACGCAGCGCATATTTTACGTATAATTAATTAAAAAAGAGAATAATAATTTAAAATAGTGACAACAAAGTGTGTAATTAAAAGTGCTAGATCTATAAAGTAAATAAAATTTACGAAAGATCAGAAGGCTGAAATAAAAAACAGCTAAAAGCAAGTGAAAAAACTTTTTGAGGTTGGAGAGTAAATGGCGGGAAGAGGACACAAGAAAGGTTACAATCTCAGGAGTAGCAGCCAACCAGATTTGAGAGCTTTTGGAATAACGTCGGAGAAAAAACAAGAAATGAGCGAAAATAAAAAAAGTGATAAGGGAAATGTAAGCGATGGTGAAATATTTTCAGATGATGAAATCAATGAACTTGATAATACATTGATAGAGGTAGTAGCTGAAATTCATCAGGAAAAAACAGTAGTGGGAGAAAACAGTATGGCTGACGAAAGAAAAGAGACAGAAAAAGACGGAGAAAATGAAGCGACATCACAAGACAATGGAGGCAGCAGTGCACCGCCAAAATCAAGGAGTGAAAATAACGAACTAAAAGATGGCGCTAAAAAGCAAGAATTAAATGTAGCAAGCGGGCTAAGTGAGATAACCGAGCAACTGACGAGAACACTGCTGGAAAAAATAAGTGAAGAAAATAGAAAAAAAGAAAATGAGTGGGAATTAATGCTCAGCGCAACCCTAAATGACATCAATGACTCCAACAGAACTGGGGTTAAAATACTACTGCAAAAAATGAACCAGCTAGAAAAATGTGACAGAGAAAAAAGATCACAATGTAACAACTGTAAACTAGCTAGAGAAAAAGAAGAGAAAATAAAAAAAGAAGCAGGAGAAGAGAAAAAGAAATGGGAAAAAGAAAAGGAGGCACTTGTTGAAAGATATCTGAAAGCAGAAAGTAGAGTGAGAGAACTAGAAAACGCGAAATACAGCGCGAGACGTGATGACACAGGACGCAGAGCATCATTGATACACAACACACAATACAGAAACGAAGATTATGTTATGGATGAATATACGCAATACATGCTAGATGATGCCAGAGCACGTAGAGACCAAAAGAGAAGTGTAAGCTGGAGCAGAGCGACAACTAAAACGACAAAGGATAATGAAGAAAGGAACAAAAGAGAAAGAGCAAGGAGCGGTCAAGACGGAGCTAAACAACCTAGACCACTCACAGAAAAAGAGATAGAAGAGGAAATGAAGAAAAGAGAAAAAAAAAGAATTTTTCTGGTAATAAAACATAATTGCAAAACCAACACAGAGGCAATAAATATTATAAAAGAAAAAATAGGATACCAGGTGAACGGGAACTCAGTGAAGAAAAGCACGGAGGGTATGTTAACCCTAAAAATGAACAGTTTAGCAGAGAAACAAAAATTGATGAGTGAAAGAGTCAAGCTAAGAGGTACAGATGTCTACCTGGACGACGAATTAACAGAAAGAGAAATTGAGGTGGCAAAATGGTTGAGAGAGATCGAAAAGGAGCAGAGAGAGAAGAATGTAATGGTGAAAAAAGGTTATATGAAAATATGTATTGATTATACCTGGAAATATTGGGATGAAAGAAGAGGTTTGGTCGACGAAAAAAATAGTAGAGATTGATATAAGTGTAAAAAAACAATCAGGGAAGGAGGTGGACAAAATAAAGATAATGTGAAAAATAAAGACGTAGTGAAAACAGTAGAATGTAAAAGAAAAGTGGTCGAAGACGCAGCACAAAGTGAAATAGTATACAGTGAATACAAAGAGGACAAGAAGGAAAATAATAAAAATAAACGCAAAAATAAAAATAAAAATAAAAATAACAATAGAAGCAACAATAATAGTAAAAATAAGAACAATGAAAGTAATAAAAATATAAATAAAAATAATAATAAAAAGAAAAACAAAAATAAAAATAAAAATAAAAAAAAAGTGGTGAATATCAGAGGATGCAAAATGATGTGCTGGAATATTGCGGGGATGAAGGAGTACAGTGAATTGAATGAGTTTATAAAAAAGTTTGAAATAGTTTCCCTGATTGAAACGTGGATCGAGGACAAAGACAAAATAAGAGTAACAAACAGGCTGAGCAGTGAAATGAAGTGGTGGTTCAAAGCAGCAGTGAGAAAAAAAGAATGCAAGAGAGGAAGAGCAAGTGGAGGACGCATATTAGGTGTGAAAAAAGAAAAAGAAGCAGAGTGGAAAGTAGACGAATGGGAGTACGGATTTGTGATAAAAAATAAACAAATGAGCGAAGTGGTGATAACAGTGTACAACAACGTAGGAATACGAGCAATAGAAAAGCAATTTAAAAAAGTAGTGAGAGACAATGAGGGAACGTATGAAAAAATCATTGTGATAGGTGACCTGAATGCCAGAATTGGTGAATGTGAAACAAAAGTAGTGAATCAAGAATATAGTATAAAAAGAAAGTCAAAAGACAAAGTGGTAAATGCGGAAGGAAAAAAGCTCCTAAATATGTGCGAAGATTTAGGGCTGAGAATAATAAACGGTGCCAGTGAAGGAGACAGAAATGGAGAAGTGACTTTCATAGGAGGAAAAAGCGAAAATTGCTGCTCGGTGATAGATATATGTATGGTAATGGACAGAGGGAGTGAAGACTGTATAAAAAAATTTGGAGTGATAAAAAAAACAGACTCAGACCACCTACCAATATATATTGAAATAAAAAGAAAAAATAGTGATAACAAAGCAACAAATGGTGAAGAGAAAACGGGCCTAACAAAAATAATGGAAGAAAGAATGAGATGGAAAAAAGACCAAGCAGCAGAATACGCGGAGAATGCGTATGAGATATGGAGTGAAAAAAGGATGGGCGAAGAAGGTCTAGAATGGAGCGAGCTAAAAGAAACTATATACGAAGCAGCGAGAAGAACAAAGATGACTGCAAAACCAAAAAAAGGGAAAGCGACAGGAAAACAAAAAAAGGAATGGTTTAATGAGAAGTGCAAAAGGTGCAGAAATACAGTGTGGGACAAACTAAGAATAATGCTTAAAGACGCACAAAACAATGAAAAAAAGAAAGAATATATAGAAGCGAGGAAAGCATACAGACAAGCAATAAAAGAAGCAAAAGAAAATTGGTGGTTAGAGAGAAAGAAAGAAATAGATAAAGCGAAGGACATGAGCAAGTGGTGGGAAGCTGTGAATAAATTCAGGTGCAAGAGAACGAAAAAAGAAATGGGGGAAAAAATAGATGGAGACACATGGGTGAAGCATTTCTCAAAACTGTTAAACAAAAATAACAATAATACCGAGGTAGACAGTGAAATAAACAACATAAGTACAGAAACAAGTTGTGAAAACGACTGTATGGATGAAGAAATAAGCAGAAGAGAATTCAGAGAGGCAATAAAAAAACTAGGAAACAAAAAAGCGCCAGGGGAAGACGAAATTTCGGCTGAATTTATAAAGAACCTTCCTCGTGAGATGCTAGAGAACTTGAACAACATAATTAATAAAATGTGGGAAGAAGGCAGCATACAGGAGGGTTGGGAAAAAGCGAGAATAGTGACAATACATAAAGCGGGTGATATAAAAAGTGCTGAAAACTACAGGGGAATATCGTTACTAGATATCGGTTATAAAATACTAACTACAATAATGGCGGAAAGGTTAATGTGCTGGACAGACAGGGAAAATAAAATAAAAGAGAGTCAAGCAGGATTTAGAAAGGGGAGAGGTACAAGAGAGCATATCTTTACGCTAAATGCGTTAATTAACAACAGGTTGAAAAATAAGAAAAATCTATACGTGTGTTTTGTTGATCTAAAGCAAGCTTTTGACACAGTTGACAGAAAATTACTGCTCCAAAAATTACAAAAAATAGGAATTGGTGGCAAAATGTACAAAATGATAGAAACTATATATAAAAACACAACGTGTGAGGTAACAGTGAATGGTGCAAAAACTAAGGTGTTCAAAATAAATCAAGGGGTGAGACAGGGATGTGCACTAAGCGCAGTACTCTTTAATATATTTATAGATGACATGGAGGATGAGATGGTGAGAAAAAACATAGGTGGCACTGTAATGGGTAAAACAAAGATATACATGACCAAGTATGCAGACGACGGTGCAGCGATAGCAGACACGCCAGAAGGACTGAAAGAAATGTTGAAAGAAATAGAAAAATACGCGGATAAAAATAGGCTGAAAGTTAATGCAAAGAAGACAAAAATTATGGTGTTCAAAAATGGTGGTAGAGCAGTGAAGAACGAATGGTGTTACAAAGGCGAAAAGTTGGAAGTGGTGAATAATTTCAAATACCTAGGATACACATTTACTACAAAAAACACACACAATAAACACATGAGAGAGATGAAAAACAAAGCGAATAAGGTGTCAAATGCAACGTGGGGAGTGATAAGAAGGACAGGTAGAGACAACATAGAAGACAGAATATATCTATATAATACGTTAGTGAGATCTGGATGCCTATACGGAGTGGAAACATGGGGGTGTGAAAAAACGAGTGAAATGGTGATAATGCAAAACAAATTATGGAGAATGGCACTAGGAGTATCGAGAAACACGCCGAGCTATATAGTGTACAAAGAGACAAGAAGCGAAATGATAGAAGTGCTAATAAAAGACAGACTATGGAGGTACATAATAAATATTGTAAGAATGGGAGAAGACAGGTGGCCAAAAATCTGCCTAAGAGAAGAAATGAGAGGTATATTGAACAGGCAGCCATCAAAGTGGGGAGAAAAAATAAAAATGTTAGTGAAGGAGATGGAATGTGAAAGAATTATAGAACTGATATATAATAATGCAGAGATAGAAGTGATAGAAGAAGAAATAAAAAATGGCTTGGAGGTGTATAAAAAAATGATGGAGAAAAAAGTAGAAGAAAAAATAAATAATTCCACGTACAATAATCTATACAAAAAACTAGTGCTGACAAATGAAACAGAAAACTACTGGTGTGACAAAGAGGTGAAAAACACGGACAAAGAAATTTGGGCGAGAGCTAGATGCGGTAATTTGACACGTGCGGGAAAAAAAGGTATAAGTGACTGGAAGTGCAGGGAGTGTAAAAGTCAGGAAGAAACGCTAGCGCATGTGTTAATGTGTGAAAAAATTAGTAAAAAATTAAGCGAAGAGAGTAAAAAAACATTAGAGACTTGGAACAATTATAAAGAATGTGAAAAAATAATAGAGATAAAAATAATAGAATGCTTAAATAGTAAAATATGTAAAAATGTATGTAAATTGTTGAAAGAAATAGAAAAGGTATTGAGAGAAAGTGAGAGTGAGAACAGAGAAGAGAGCAATATAACAAAAGACGCTGTGAATTAGAATGCTAGTCTAAGAAAGAGTGCGCATGAATGTGTGATAAAGAATAAGTAGAGATAATTAAGAAATAAATTTTAAAAAATGAGGAAAAACGTGTGTGGAAAATAGTATGGGATATGTTAAAATATTGTAAAAAAGCAATGTACCCAAAAAAGTGGTGAAATGTATGCCAAATATTAAATATTAAAATTAAAATTAATGTAATTAATTTAATACTATGTAATCCACATAAAAACGAGCTAAATAGAAAAACAGCGCTGCTTGTCTTTCTATTTAGAAAACACTTTGTAAAACACTGCCTATGTGATACAAATAAAATCATTATTATTATTATTATTATAATTTCTTTTCGTTCGAAAAAATTTCACAATAAAAAGAAAACTTTCTTAAGAAAAGAAAATTTTCTTAAACCAAAAAAATATTCTTTAAATTAAATGTTAATTCAAGTTTTTTTTAACAAATTTTTATCCAGTACCTAACCCACGAAACTGCTAATAATTTTTTTAAAACAAAGAAAATGCTCTCATTTAAACCATAAATTACCTTAAATTTTGAATAATTAATCTAAGTGATTTCTGAAATAAAGCTTTCAGGCCTTTCCGAGGAACTGCTTTGTCAGATTAGTTCGCCGTAAAAGCGAAAACTTTTAAGGATCAGTGTAAGCTTCACAAAGAGAAATCTTGATAACCAGGTTAAAATGATGAAATTTAACTAATTTATTCACGTATCAAATCCCCGAGTGATTAAAGCCAGATTAAGATTATTATAACTTATAATTGTCATTGTAATATTCGCACAAGGGAGTTTCTAAAGCCAAGAACTTACAGGAATCATTCAAAGCTTATTGACAGTGAAACCCGAGTAACAAAGTTTCAAAAATAATAAAATATGCTGTGTAGCATATGTGTCGTAACATGTTAGTACAAATTGAAAACCATTTAGCGAATCTCTTAGTCGCTGGGTATGTTAATAAATTCCGGGTTTACGACGTTGCACGTGGGGCAAGCTGAATTTAAAGGGCGCGTCTAACGTTCCGTGGATTCACCGTTTAGACATTGTGCTTCTGCTGGCATACACTTTAAAGCTCTACTCTGTATAGTGAACTATACTGCATCGCTACATCCTTCAGATCCTCTCTACCCTGAATGCTTCATACTGTATTGTATGTTCTCAATAGTTGTTACTTTGTAATCAAACGCGTGAAAGAGAGCTTTGCATATTTACTTAAAGACCACAAAATCTTTTTCTTTATTAAATTCCGCTTTTGTTATTTTATACAAAATCTTATTTTCTAACTAATAAATTACGAAAAATTTACTTTTTATCATTTGTTCGAAATAGATAAATAGAGCAGAAAGCAAAGTTTACTTCTACTTTTTTGACTTCTTGACATCTTTACTCACAAAATTAGCAATATAGTACAGCCTTGAAAGGAGCTAGGCTTAATGGATTTTACTCGAATTTATGGTGGACAAATTTGTTTATGATTCTCGATATTTAATATCCATCCATGCACAATATACTTATGTATCTATAATATATGTATAGCGACATATGGTGTAAGAGGATCAAGACAAAACGTATTGTCTCTGATGTACGATTTAAAGTTCAAGCTTTGATATATCGCGCTTCCTATTCGACGCAACTAAATTCTAACTCGTTTCAGAGGCAGCACATGTTGTACTCATTTAATCCTGCTTCTACTTCATATAGTATCCTATAAAACTTTAAGTAGACTGCCTGGACTAAAATTAGATTAAATAGTTACATGAATAGTAAAAAATTTTTGCCTTTAAAATTTTTTTTTATTATTTTAAAAATTACATTCTTATAAAAATGTTTATTTTATGAAACTTTCGATTTTCATCCAACATTTCTCATGTAAATTTGAATAATTCTCTAACCAGTAGTGGCTCAGTAGATTTTTCACGCCAAGTTAACTATTTAGCTCATACACATTTCGTTCTTCAGCTTCTAAGCGGCTTGATGTCTGGTAAGCTCGTGGAACAGCATTCAAATACTCAGGTATAGAGTTGAGTAGTTGGCTGCCAAGTATAGTGAGTAGTGAGTAGATGTCTGTCTTCTCCCGCGTATAAAATGTTCCAGCAACCCCTTCAACTCACGAATGCTCTATCCTTTAGCTACACAGCACCCTTATGCCACTGACAGTCAAAGGATCCCTTCTTAGTAGTCCTAATCCAAACTTCAGCTCATATATGCTTTTCGAATATTCGGTCATAACCCTTTCAACCGGCTTTTGATTTAATCTCGTATGCAATTTATATATATATATATATATTGTAGTACTAATTTTTTGATATTATACCATGTCGAGAGCCCTATCTCATAATTGGGGAGAACCAGGTTCGATTCCTGGCTAGGTCCGATGTTAATATTTTTTTTAAGTTGTTCTAATATTTATTTATGTACTATTTAACATCCACTTTCTTAATAAAAATGAAAATTAATGATCCAGAAAAAATGTACATACATGATAACATTTGGGCCATGCATGAAGTATGTGAATTACATGTTTACATACATTTTACATATGAAATACACATGATCATATAATAATAATAAGAAATAGTATATGATTCTAGAAAACCATGTATACCTACATTAGTACAAAGTAATAATAATAATAATAATAATAATAATAATAATAATAATAATAATAAAATACTTATAGCTTAAATACAAATGATAAATACACGTGACACTTAATAATATTTATTAGACTCATAAATACTAATAAGTATAAACTCGTTAAAGTCTCTTCTCACTATCTCATCTTTCGCAATATAAGTAAGTACCTATACTAGTAACTACAAAGTATAAACTACAAACTACCAGGCACTACATCTACCGGTACTTGATGGTAATAATCTCTTATTCACTCGAGCTTGCGGTCGCGCATTTTCCTCAAGCGATACACGCGCGTTAGATTAATTGCGTCGACAATTGGCCGCAGAGAGTGAGGGTAAGAGTGCTGGTGGCCATAGAGAGTAGATAACCACCGGCCCATTTAAGGGTGTGGGGTTAAGTGCAACGAATATGTCTCAATACAAAACCACTCGCATAGTAATAGATAGAGCAAAAATACTGAGAGCTTAAATGGGGAAAAAGAGAGAAGGAGATGGAGAAAGCGATCGAAACTCCGACCCACCCCGTTAGCTCTACTCATATCAGTCTTTACTACTTATAGTAATGAACATTCTGCATCCGAATCCAGTGCGCACGTCGCATCAGCCTGCATCCTGCATATTATGCTCTCGTCCTCACCCTCACCCTCGCACACCACTTACCGCTCTATCTCTATATCTATCTTTATTTGATGTCCGTGGACCCAGAGTCTTCTTCCGGGTAGACATCTCTTTCTTCGTGACGGCAGTACTTCATGAAACGGGAAAACCGCCACTACGCCAGCATAATAATTCCAAAATTTGCATGTACGCGGGCTAACTCCTCAAGTAGGTTATCTACGCCACAAGTTTTCTTTATGATATATTACATGTATTGTTAGTAGTGTTATAATAGGACATATTAAACTCTACTTTTATTTAAACATATAAATAAACTTTCATTTTATCATTCATTAAATACAATTTTTGATATTTAACATTTAATTTGATAAATTATTACTTTTAAAATAGTTCTCTTGCTATAAAAAATTTCGTCTAATTTTAGTTTATCAGCATACGTGGATTGTTAATAGAGTCGTTTTTAGCAATTACGACAATAGAACAAGGTCTATTTCAATCAGCTTTTAATTTAAAAAAAAAATTAATTTCCATAAATTACAGTTTTATTTATTTTACCTTAATTTAATATTAAATATTTTTTTTTGCCCAATAAAGTTCACTCATGAAAAATAATTTTGATGAATATCATTTTGAATCAAGCAAAAAAATCAAGAAGATGAATAAAAATAATTTCTTTGATAATTAAGACATCGGCAGAACCTTTTAATAAAAAATTGTTCTGAGTAATAAACCGACGAAAATAATATAAAATAAAAACAAAAAAAAAAAAGACTTAAACTCTTTCACAAAGTATAAAAGACTTTAAAACAGTCTAATGGAATATCCGAGCAATATCACTCGGCAATTAAGCCAATGCACAGCTAATTGCGTTTCCGAGACATCCAGGTCCTTCTCTGGCCGCTGACAGAAGGCAAAAGCCCGCAGTGCAGCCCCTGCTCTCGGGTTCCTTCTTGCAAAGTCCTGCTGCTGAGGACACAAAGCTCTTTGCTAACTGAATTTTCTTGAGCAAGCATCAAAGATCCAGGAGTCGAGGACAGAGTCTGCACAGAGAGTCCAAAGGTGAAATGGAACAAGGAAATAACGAGGAAACTGAAGAAGGAGGAAGCTGGGACAAAGGGGTGTCGAGAGCCTGTACTGGGTTCGTTTTTCCCCATGTGTGTCCTCACACATATGACGATCACCATCTCGGCGCTACACATCTGAACGTAACAGTTGCTTGGGTACTCTCATATATCTACACTAGGCACTGCACACATGGGACGGTAAGCGATAAGTAATTCAGTTACCGGGGGCAGTATCGAGTTAACCCTTGGTTCTGGCGTGCTTCCATTTAGCTTCTCTGGCTGGCTCTCACCCCAATTTTATTATCATATCACAAAAACCTCATTCCGCCGTCGTTCATCGTCAATATTTTTAGTCTCTTGTCAAAAATCCCAAACACAGTATACGTGATACGTGAACGAGATCGGTTTTTTTTATTTTTTTATTTTATCGGAATATGGTTATAACGATTGCTCTTTGTACTCTTTTATCGTAAAAGCTTCCAATCTAGTTATTTCATTAAAAAATAAAATGATAAACAAATTTCAAAATTAATTTCTAAATACAGGCTACATATAAAGTAGCAATTAATATTTTTTTCAGTATTTTAATTTATTAATATAAATATAAATTTAATTTTTTAACACACTTTTATTTACCGACTAAGATGTATGATTAATTCAAAAATTTAGACAGAAATCAAGGAAATTATTTTTTCCAATATTTTTTTTATTAACCTGAATTCACCATTTCCATCAAATAATCGAGTAAACTACAAATTTTGCATATTGACGTTGACCTAAATACTAACAGACAGTAATATTGCTTAATTCAGTTGATTTGATTTAGTTGAAGAACCAACATTTCCATCTCATGTTGCTGACCAATTACCTCAAAGTGCCCATTACTAACCAACCTCTCAAGGAATCTTGCGCTTTCGGTCAAGCATCGATTTGATGATTCTCTTGAAAATGGCTCTAGTACACAATGAATAAGATTTTGTTTGATAAAATTACTGAGTACTTATAATATTTAAATGACAAAAAACAGGAGCATATATACTTAATATTATTTATAAGAAGATAGTAAGGAGAAGCGTAGATCGCGTTTGAATGCTAAGTATTGTCAGCTTAAGACTAGTATTCAATGTTTTTTATTATTATATTATTATTCTTTTATAATCGAAACTGTTTTTTACTCTACACAGATTTCAGGACACAAGTACTCGCGC